GCACGCCCCTTCTGTTTATGACTTCCGGTTCCAAGCCAGTTTGAGCAGCTGCGTCGTGCTGTCTCCTTTTTAGCCTTTATTTTTCTTTCTTCTTTGTTTGAAGTTGTATTTGTACTGTTTAATGAAGAAAAAAAATTAAATAAAAAAAAAAGTTTAGGTATTTTCGGGTATGCACGCCCCTTCTGTTTATGACTTCCGGTTCCAAGCCAGTTTGAGCAACTGCGTCGTTGCCGTTTACGTAACAGAGGGAGGCGAAGCTGACGGTGTTTTTCTTCTTCAACATTCGCAGTTTCCTCGAGAGAACGAAGATGTGGAAGATTGTTCTCCTTTTTCTCGCGCCCCTGTTCGCCGCTGGGTTAGGTGGCATGACTGGTGGCAAACAAGACATAGATGTTAATGATCAAGGTGTTCAGAACGCTCTGAACTTCGCAGTTGTCGAGCACAACAAAGCCTCCAACGACCTTTTCTACGTCAAGAATATGGAGGTACTCAAGGCTCAGTCTCAGGTCAGTAACGTTTTTTGTTTTTTTTTGTATTCCTAAATAAAAGGGATGCCTGAACAATAAAACAAAACATGAGTAGTTGGTGGATCTGGTCTTAATTAGACTTATCAAAAGTTGATTATGACACTAAATGGTTTTAATTATATTGTTCTGATAGTGATTATCTGGACAAGGCAAATAGCATAAATCATGTTAAAATCTACTGAACTGAGCAGTCTTAAATTTTATAGTTGCTTATTTATTTATTTGTCATGCCAAGCTCCACCTACTAATTATATGAACAATATTAACAGAAGGGAACCTAGGAAATGTTTTCCTTTTATTATTGTTTCCTCAAGTTATGCACAGTATGTGCTCATTATACGTTTCAAACGGGCTTCATGTGTTAGAATGACCTGTTCTCTTTACAGGTAGTTGCGGGTGTGAAATACTACATAAAGGTGAAAATGGCAACGACCACCTGCAAGAAGGGCAGCTTATATAAAGGTTGTCCCGTCCACACAGACCCAGCGATAGCCAAGGTAATAACTTTGAAAGAATGCGTATCGTCCGCTCAACATCTGTAAAATTCAGTGTCGTAGCCATTTTTATGTCTGCCACTGTGGCTAGATTGAATCAGGTTTGGTCCACAAGGTAATCAGTTGTAGTTGTTCATCTACAACACTGACACGAGCGATAATGGCTGAAGGCTCATTTTGAGAATCCGAATCAGAATAAACTTTATTGGCATTGCACCGAGATACAACGCGAACATGTACGTACAGTCGTCCGAAGATGGGCGGAGTGCGCGAAGCTGCGGCTGTAAATAATTAGCGCGGCCTTCTTATTCTTATTCAGAATAATATTTTGCTTAGATGAGAAAAGGAAAGAAGACATGAGGAGAGACGGTATTAAAAAAAAAAAAGATCTCTCACACCGTGTCCTAGACAGAATGCCTGGAAGATCACAGTCCTGATAACAGCTGCTCCAATTCCCTGTCACAGCTCCACATTCAGTCCCGAGCGCTGTCGAGCTTCAACACCTCCACACGAATTTGTAGATAATCCAAGATTTCACCAACCCAAACAGTAGAATCTAGTTATCACGAATCCAATTTGTTTCCTTCGAGGTAAGAGGGTCCTCCTTACCCTGACTCGTGTCGGGAGAAGTTGATCGATTTTGTTGAGAGACCAGCTGATCCTTCGAATTAAGAGGTATGCAGGAAAAAAAAAAAAGAGGCTTTTTTTAAGGGTTCGCAGGACAAAAGAGCGCAGCAGGGAAGCGGGTGGGGGGGGAGAGAGGGAAAACACGTCTGGTTCCACCAGAGAATAGCAGGGGGAAAAAATGAAATGCAGATTTATACGTTCTCTTTATCACAAACAGATTGTTCTAAGCTTAATTCCTCTTTAGAACAGAAAACATGTTTGTACAATATGTTTAATATGATTTATATATATATATATATATATTCTAAACTTTGTGTTTCAGAATTACATCTGCGACTTTGAGGTGTGGAGCCGCCCGTGGCTACCAGATATCCAGGTGATGAAAAGCAGCTGCTCGTAAAAGAACTACGTGGGACCGGCATTGTTTGCAGAATAACCGTCACTCCGAGTGAAATGTACTTTTCTTTACATTAACCTCTAAAGTATTAACATCCTTAAATCTTACCTTCATTACGTCACTTTAGGCTAATATGTTTCAAACTTTACTACAGAGGTCTACAGTTTTTAATAGTTCCACACAAAAATAACAAGCAACTTGGTTGTCAAATAACACATCAGCCTAGTTTTAAAATACTGTAGTTTTAACTTTGTTGAGTGGTCCTGTGATTAATATGTTTGTTTCCCATTTGCTTTCCCAACATCTTTATTCTTGTTTGATTTGACGAAATTACTGTCTTACATTAATCAAAGATGCAATATGTTTAGATTGGTAAAACATTTAGTCATTATTATCACCCGACACCTAATTTATCTTTATTTTCCACTTTTAACTTCAATAATAACTCTCCAAGTCATTATTTGTGTTTTGTTCCATCATTGAATTGTTAAAGTTCAATATACTGTAGGTTTTTATGCAAAATAAAGGTTGTAACTTTTAACAAACTGTACGTTCATCACTATTAATAAAGACATTAATTACCTAAGTTTTGTTTTTTACACTTAATGAATGGATTAGGGCTGAACAATTAATTGCATTTGCAATAATATCGCAATATGATGAAAAGCGATTTTCTAATTGCAAAGGCTGCAGTTTGACTGGTCACATGATCTGGTTATGTGACTTGCGAGTGAGCAGAGCAGGAGAAGTCACTGCGTTTTAACTGGTTGCACAATGGAGTCAGGCTCAACAGAAGCTGACACATCTGAAAGTTTGGTACCAAAGAGGCAGCACGTCCGTTGTTTGGAATTATTTTAGCTATAAAAAAAGAAGACTTAACGACATGTATTGTGCAGAACCTGCCTTGCTGCTTTCGCTACCTCTCAAGGTAACACCACAAATTTTTAACAACACAAAAAAAACACAAAGCCATTTACGACAGTTGCATGGTTAGAATGTCAACGACCAGTGCTTCAACTTCAAGCAATGTAGCAGCCAACAGGGATCACTGACCAAACTGTTCGAAGGTATTACTCCGTAGGAACTCAAAATTGCACTCGGAAATAACTCTAGCAATAACGGAGTTCATAGCGAAAGACATGATGCCCATTAATATAGTGACCAAGCCTGAGTTTACGACTTTGGTAAACACAATGGATAAGCGGCATAGAATGCACTCGCGCACACATTTTAGCCAAGTTGCTATCCTGGAGCTAAACACACACAAAAAAAATGCAGAAACAGTTGCAGTGGAGCTGAAAACGAGTTTTTCTTTTTTAACAATTTAAACAGATTTATTGCATGTGTTTGTTGAAAAATACACGAGAAGACATTGAAAAATAGTCATATTAAATCGCAATATTGAGGTAAAAAAAATAACAATATCGCAATTAGAATATTTTCCAAAATCGTTCAGCCCTTTCCTCATTAGGAACTAATTTTTACTACCATGAAACTGCTCTGTAACGACACAAACTTTGGTTTTAAATTAGTAATAATAAAGACCAAGTATTTTTAAAGTTTTTTTTATAAAAATATAACATTTTGGAATATATAAGACTTTCTTTCAGTAAGCTCTGATGTGAAATACAGCAAGTTATGAGCAACCTTGATTTTCTGCTTTGTACAAAGGTTGACCCAGACAGTTGAGCATGTTTAAACTGCCAGACAGTAAAGCTGAGGATAATGAGGATTATAGCTTCAAATGCAACGCTGTTGTTTGGAAACTGGCAGGACCCGGTAGAAAAAGCCAGACCTTGCATAACCTTCTGTTCCCATGCATGTGGTGGGTGCACATCCAGTCCTGCTACACAAAAAGAACACATCATTTAAACATGCAGATAAAGCAGTGTTTATTTGCACCGTGTTTAGGTTTTAAATTACATTTCCACCATTTCTGTGTGAAACACTCCTCTAAAATAAAGCCACTTTCAAAAGTGAAGTCATACTTGTCTATTTACTCACCTATGTGCTTTAGGCTTGCACAAATTAAATAAGAGCCAAGTGTCAAAGTCTGACTCATCATGGCATGACTCTGACATGCTCTCTGCCCAAACATACACCAAATAAGGACAGTTACAAAGCAAAAACTGCTTCCACCCATTCAGTATGACTAGTCATTGTACAGTAGATAAATACTGAGGGGTTGGGACGACTTACCTCCGGGTGGCCAGAGTCGAAGCCAAATGTTGACGTTCTGTTCAAACAGTGGTCACAGGTAAGTGCGTGTGACGCACACCAGACCCTTAAAACTTAACACCTTCCACTGTGAGGTTGTCCTTTTAAAGGCAGTGATCTTTGTGTTGCTGATGTAAAAGACCAGACAGTTCAATTCAGTTCAGTTTATTTATATAGCGCCAACAAAGTTGTCTCAGGGCACTTTACAAGAACATTCACATACGTTAAAAAAAAGCCAATTAGTAAAGTTCTCTAAGGATAGAGAAACAGTTGTTATCACATAACAAATAAGATCAGGTTTAAAGATACATTTTTAAATTAAAGATAAAGAGTTGGCAGTGAAGGGCGAAGGAGCGACATCAGGGGCCTTGGTGTCTCCTGCCAAGCAGAAAGGGGAACTCAGCCAAGACTGGACAAACTGAATACAAACAGAACCAGCTCATTAAAACCAGAAACTAGAGCAGAACGTTTATTTCTATCCAAAGCAAAAAGATGTGAATTTGTATCAATAGTGAAGCAGATTTAAATGCCAAGCTGATTATGGAAGCTGCTGAAGGCGTTCACAATGTTTTAAAATTAGCTGTTGTTCAGCACAACCAGGGATCAAACGACTCTACCTGGAATCACTTCCTCCACATCAGACTGCATAAAAGCTTCAGTGCCACGTCCCCTTTTTCCTTGGGCATTTCCTTTTCCCCAATGGCATTGTAGTGGTGAGGTTGACTTTGAATTTAACTTTGTGTACAAAGCATTTTAGCAACTCTGAGTTGATCTTTATTATCTTCTGTGAACACAACCTTAAGGACGGTGAGCACTCATCATCAGACTAGAGACAGTTGAGGATAATTGGTTCCCTGCCTCTCAGGAGCTGCAAAAAAGTTAGTGCTGAGAAGCCCAGAATCCCCCCAATCTGAGCTACAAATTAATATAAAAAAATATTGACCAGTGATTGAGCCCTGATCACCTCGGCCACTTCATCCAGGTGTGCAGCAGGTTAGGTTATCAGTTGGAAATTCCTCAGGGAGGGGGTGGTGAGCGTCAGATCACATGTTCTCCAGGCAAATTCAGGTAAGATGGCCTTCAAGGCCAGCCAAGGGAGCCAAATTCAGATAAACACACAGTTGTTTTGGGGACAGGCAGAACTTAATGACATCTACCTTGAGTCTGTGTTGGTCGACTCGGTTCTGAAATGTCCAAATTACATGGCCACACCGATGGAACGTGACCGAGTAAAATCCCCAAGATCTGATCCATTCAGCCCAAAGCATTTGAGTCTGGGTACTCGAGACACAAACCAAGCCATCATAAAGGCAAGCAGCGTGATCGGGTCCAAATTTGATGCCGACGACTTCCTTGATTGTAGATAAAACCAGCAACAAGCCGAATCCTAAAAGCAGGAACCGGTTATCATAAACCCAATTAAATATGCGTCCTTATAATCCACAAATGACAGCAGAGATACACATCAAGTCTTCCAAGTCGATGAGATATCCAGCTGCGTGCGTGCCAACAGGGCAAATCAGCTCGCCTAAAGCCTGTCTTCTCTTCGAAGAAATGTAAATTGAGTTTAGGGACCAACTGATCAAATCAAGTCCATAATTATGGTTCGGAAGAAATGCAAGAGAGGCTCAGAAGCAGTTTCACAGACAGACAGAGCAGCAAAGCGGAGAGGGAGGGGAGAAGCATTCGATCTCGGCGAGAGCAAGTGTTGAACATTTTGCATTTTGTAACAAGGTTTGGAACAAGTACCGGTTGTTAAATATTCTGAAAGGTTCCCTACTGGCCTGGAGCCCTAAGGCATTTCATTGTGCTGCCTGTGCCCTGAGTGCTTATAGATTACAAACACTGATGCACCATCCAATCTGAATTAAATTTCTCAACTTCAAGAGTTCACGCACCCATCAGCATGTAAATATTCAGGCTAGACAACGGCACCACCTACTGTCTGCAAACATGGATCAGGAGAGATTGATTGCCATGACAGTGGAAGTTGGCTTGAGACAAAATCACAACTTCCATCACTTCACCACTTATAAGTCTATTTGAGCTTGTGTACAGGTAAATTTTGTGTGGATGAGAGAAAATCTACAATAAACTCAAACTCGTGCACACATTAACTGTTTCCAAAAACAACTGAAAGCCTTAATGTGACTTTTATGTCTATGATGAGTATATGTAAACCTCTGACTACAAATGTATGAATTCAGCTTTTTATTTATAATCATCTGTTATAACATTACTGTAACTAGGCCCTCAAAATAGAATTCAGTTTTGTAATCTAACTGGGATTGTTGTTGTTCTTTAAAGAAAATGACTGGTAATGTCACACTGACAGAAAACTGCTCCTCTTCATGATGTTAGACATGTAAGAGGTTTTGGTCTGTATCACTGAAGGTACTGGGGAGTTTGAAAAGTTTATATTACTGTGTTGAGTTATAACATTAATATATAAAGTTCCAGTATGCTCATATGTGTTTTTAATGTGCCTTTTTTGGTGCAGCTTACAGAAGGTCTGAATCAAGGATTTCTGCTAGTTTATTTATTTATTAACCTTTATTTAACCAATCAAATCCCACTGAGATCACAGAACTCTTTTGCAAGGGAGACCTGGGACTGAAGGCAGCCTAACATGCATGTTTTTGATCTGTGGGAGGAAACAGTAGTACCCGGAGAAAACCCACGCAAGCACGAGAAGAACATGCTAACGCCACACAGAAAGACCCCAGGTCCAACCGGGGATTGAACCCAGGACATTTTTGCTGTGAGGAAAAAGTGCTAACCACTGAGCCGTCGTGCTAGTGTTACATATTCACGCACAAGAGGTAGACAATGTAATGTCACCATTTCTTGAGTTGCTATGTAAAAGATGTCTTCAGATTTTCTAGGAATATGTTTTTGTGCTGTAAGAGATGTTGCTCCTTTCACTCACAGTAAGGATAAGTGAAGTGAAACCTCATAGATGGAAGCTGAACTCCACCCCTGAAACATACGGTGATTTTTCATTGTTAGACTTTCAATAATTTATCAAGACCTTGAAAAACTAGGACAAATAAAAAGCTAGCTGTAGCAGTGTTCATGTCTAGATTTATGCAATATGTGAATAAAACACAAGTGACATAATGGTACTAATAGTATAAGGACCAAAAAGTACAGATCTTTAACATTTAGCACTTTTGTTTTCCTGAGCACTATCATTGTTTGTAATTAGAAAATTAGCATTTTTAACATTAGTGTCAAAACAATTTTTTTTGTCCTTCTTAAATTTGATATTTTCCTTTGTCTTAACATGTAAAAATAATAGTACATGCCAACCATTTATTGTAGCTTGTTCATATTAGAATGTAACATACTATAGTTTTTTAGATGT